GCCCCGACCCCGGGACCCAGCCCCCCTGCTCCCCCCCCGCGTCCTCCCTCGGGGCTGAAAAGGCCGCCCCCGGGCGGGGGGGGCGCGGGGGGCCTGCTGGCACTGCCGCTGGAGCTGCTGCTGGAGATCTGCGGGTACCTGGGGGCGCGGGAGGTGCGGGGGGTCCTGCCCCACGTCTGCCGGGCGCTGCGGGAGGTGGCCCGGGACGCCGTGGCCTGGCGGCTCCGTCTGCAGCGCAGTGCCCGGGGCCCCTTCCCCGTCCTGGAAGGTGGGTCTGGGGGGGCGACCCGGACATTGTGTTTCCACGCGGGGGGGCTGGAGACCCCAAAACATTTCCCCATAGTGGGTTGGGGACATCCCTAATACTCCGTTTTCCCGGCTTTGCCGACCCCAAGGGGGCTGTGAGGTGCTGCAGAGGACGAATGTGGGGAGTTGGGGTCCCTCTTTGACCCCTGTGGCAAATTGAGGGCCCCCAGTGACCCCCCATTTCCCCATAACTCATGTCCCAGCGCCCCACGTCCCCCACTCTGCTGAACCTTGAGGTGGCTATGGAGCACTGTGTGAGGTGAAGAGGGCAGGTTAAGGACCCCCCCAATGCCCCAGATCCCCCCATCAGTTCAGGAGGCTGCCCCTGACCCCCCCGTTTCTCTGCAGAGGAGGGGTTCGACTGGTCGGCCGCCTGCGTGGACCTGGAGGAGCACCTGCAGCGCTGGGGGGGCGGCGGGACCCCCATGGAGCACTTCTCCCTGGACGAGGGACACTTTGCCTCCGTTGACTCTGTCCTTCTGCTGCAGGTGGGGCCAGGCTGGGCCTGGGGGGTTCCCCAGTTCTGGGGGGTGGTCCCCGTCTTACCTCTGTGTGTGTGTGTCCCAACTGGTAGGGAGGGACCCTCTGCGTTTCAGGCGCCCGCGACCGCAACGTCAACCTGTGGGACCTGCGGCAGCTGGGCCGGGCCCCTGGCAAGGTGCTGGTGAAGGCACTGGGCACCGAGCGCAACGGGACTCACAAGGTGGGGGGTGCAGCCATTATCCCCTCTCCTCGCGGCTCAGTTGCCCCCCTTGGGGAGCCGCTGGGGGGTCCTGGAGTGGTTTTGGGAGCGGTGGTGGGCTTGGGCTCTCCCTCGCAGGGCTGGGTCTGGTGTTTGGCCTCCCAAGACAACAAGGTGTGCTCGGGCTCGTGGGACAGCACTGTGAAGCTGTGGGACCTGGAAGCCGAGGGGCAGCAGTTTGGGGAGATCAGGTAACAGCTGGGAGGGGCCCAGGGAGGCTTGGGGGGGTCCCTGGGGTGAGGTTCTGGCTGAGCCCAGCCCTTCCCTCACCCCCAGGGAGAAGGCAGCTGTGCTGTGCCTATCCTACCGCCCCGACGTCCTTGTCACCGGGACGTATGACAAGACGGTGACTGTTTACGACCCGCGAGGTTGGTCCTGCCCGGGATGGGGGTTGTCCCTGGGATTGGGGGAGGTGCTGGGGGGGGGCCTCTGGCTCAACCCCCCTCTGCTGTCAGCCGGCCAGGCTCTGGTGTGCAGCTACAAGCCCCATGCTAGCGCCGTTCTGTCCTTGGCGGCTGATGACCGGCTCATCGTGTCAGGCAGCGAGGACCGGACTCTTGTTGTCTTTGACCGACGGGGCGATGGGGTCCTTCAGCGGCTGCAGGTGGGTCCTGCTGCCCCCCAAAACGGGGGGGGACGGGGGACAGGGCTGGGGACTCCCTTCTCCATCACTGCTGCAGTTGGGGCCCTGAGATTTGGGGTGCAGCAGGATCTGCCCCCGCTAATGCTTATTCCTTCCTCCTAGCTGGAAAACTACCTGCTCTCCATGTCGTACCAGGGGACGCAGCTCTGGGCAGGGGACAACCACGGCCGAGTGTACGTCTTCAGGAACAGCACTGGCAGCTTCCAGCCCGCCCGGGTAGGGACCCCAAGGGGGTTGGGGGATGCAGGGGAGGGCTCAGGTGCCCCCCAGTGCCTCACAGTATGTTTTTACGTGCCCTCTCCTGCAGTACTTTGACGTGGGGCACCGGTTGCAGATCACGGGGCTCTGGCACTCGCTGGGGTCCCTCTATACCACGTCCACCGACAGGACGCTGCGGGTGAGGGTCCCTCTGTCCCCGTCACACAGTGCTGCGCTGGGGAGGGCCTGCTGACCCTTGTGTGGGGGGCTAGAGGACTGCGAACAGCTTTTGCTCTCTTGCAGATACACGTCCCTACAGACCCTCCCCGCACCATTTGCTCCTGGACGCATGACGACGTGCTTAATGGGGTAAGGAGGCACTTGCTCCCTTGCACACACGTGTGCACACACATCCGCTCGCACATGCGTGTGCAGGCATCCTGGCTCCCCCCAGTCTCGGTCCTGCCACAGCATCTGCTGTGCTGGTCCTTGCACTGGGGGCTCCCTGGGGTGGGGAAGTGTCCCCCTGGGTCAGGGGGTGTCCCCCCAGCAGGCCCCCTGCCCCGGA